CAGTGACATGGTGTCAGCAATTGGCAATGGCAATGAGGGATTGTTATAAAAAGTATTTACTATTTTGCATGATTTATGGCATCTATTTTTAACTTGCAACAGGAGTTAGAATACTTCTAACTCCTGTTAGAACTTCTAACTCCTGTTAGAAGTTAGAATACTTCTCTGAAGATACTTACAATTTCAAGGTCAACATCTAACTGCCTACTAGGGTTACATTAATTAACATGGTTATAATTTATTTAGTTATTTCAGAGAAACTAAAAACAAGCAGAGTAATTTCATTTCAGGAAAAGAGAACTAAACGCAAATTAAAAGTAAAAATAGAGACTGCAATGTATACAAATCTAAAATGGGATAGTCCTTGCATCATCATCATGAAAGAATTTCTGAGAACTTCTGCTCATAAAGGTTTAGAACAAGAACAAAAACCTCATTTGACTTTTGCTTTCACGTAGTCCTAAGAAAACAGAAACTTGACTTTTACTGTGCAATGATCACAACAGCTAGTGTTTCTGGAAAAAAGCAGCCTCAAAAGCTAGTCTCTTCTGCAATGAAGTAAGTAGTAATGTTGGCTGTCACCTTGATGGAAGCTAGAACAGACCTACATTTCACCCCTTAGCTTTAAAAAGAGATGTAAAGGAAAAAAAAAAAAAAAAAAAAGAAAAGAAAAGAAAAAAGAAAACTTGGTATATCTCAGAAGATTTCAAATTAGACATTAAATTTGTTTTTAATGGGTAGTTAATAAAAGATTCCTGCACTCTGTAGATAAAAATGGAGGCTGGAAGGAATGTCGTCTGTTTATCAGTATCAACAGACTCAAGAAATAGGTTTTTATCCTCTTCTCTTGTATTCAAATCTGATGATCAGTTTCTCAGCATGATTTACGATGCCAAGAACCCAGGTAATTCTGTCTTAGGTAAGGACCTTCTTCTCCTTTGAGCTCCTTTTCCAGTCACTTATTGCAATTCTGCCATCACAGGAATGGTTTTGGCATGTAGTTCAGTCAGCAGTTGAAATTTCTACTTCAGGAAAGAACAAAAGGTTGCAAGATATCTGCAAAGTCTGTATGTAAGCAGTGAGAAAATGGGTCTAATGTCATTTCTTCATTTGTAGTTACTCCCTCATGAGTTCTGTCAGCCTAATCTTCATGAATCTGAAAAGCAACTAATGGCTTTGAGTGGCTTGACAAAACATGGCAGAACAAAAATAGTTTGGGGGATATATACATTCTCAGCACCTCAAATTTCACAGCCCTTTGTGTTGCTACAAATGTTGAGTGACTTGAATATGGCTAGCAGAGTTCATCTTGATTCATATCCATGAAAGACTGAGTTTTGGTGCCAACTAGTTAGCTGGCTTTTGACGGAATACTTTCCAGCTCTTGGAGCCCAGTTAGTTGCAACATTGCCTAGAGTTACAAGGCCCTGTGATAGCTGTACTTCTACCTGTCTAATATACTTTGTTATGAATTATGCAGGAAAAAATAAAAGTCTGTCAGTCCACCTACACGGGACATTTTCTGGATATATGCAGATTAGTCTGTCAAATTCCTCAGATTCCTGTTATGTTGTGATGGCTTACTTCATTTACTGTAGCCCATGAATATGAAATGAAAGGGTCAAGCACCGTTAACTTTGTCTTTTGCTCTCCCAACATTTTATTTTTTTTTACTTTGAAGTAGATGTTGAATGCTTTTCAGTGTATGACCTGAAGACTGTCTGTGAGATGTTCTCTTTAGCTCTTTCTTTCTATACTACATCTCTATTACTCTAACAATAATAATTATTTTTAAACTCACATAGCATTTTTCAAAGCAGAATAAAATACTGAATGAACCTCATACCACATCAGTTTGTTAACACTGGCTATATAAACCCCTCACAGATTTTTACAGATATGCTTATATTTGAGTAAAAAGGGAGGGTAGCAGAAACATCTGCTCAGCTGGAAAATGCTGGTATTCGGCAGAAACATCTGCTCAGATGTGGAAAACTGATAGTTTGAAATGGCAGTGACTGTCAGCTGTTTTTCTAGGGCTACATATTAAACATCTATTGCTAAGAAATAGCTGGAATTCTGCAGTATGCTTCAGGAGGGAAGGAGTTAAGTAGAGTGCTACCTACCTTTCCAAAATAAATGTTAGGGGCAAAATATTTGTATGATTGGAGCCAGTTTTTCTTACACTGGTAGCTGAGTTCTTAAGAAGTGGTTGAATAGTTTTCCCAATAATTTCACAGTGTCACATTCTCCTCTGTTGTTAAAGTATTTTGCTTTACAATATCATGTCTGTGAACATGGCAGTAAAATTTATTGCTTGCTGAAAACTATATATTGTCTCTCTAACACTGGAGAATATTTGATAGTAGTAGTACTTATTTGAATATTAGTAGTACTTTTCAAACAGTATTGCTGAAGTCAATGTATTAGCATGAATAAACATATCTCAGTCAACTTTTAGGTTTTTCAAACACAAACATCGGGTTAATAGTGATAAATTTCTGTTCAACTACATTTCTGTGTTGTAGGTTGGATAGATGCATCATTTACATGTAATGTAATCATGCCATAATGTGTTTGTAGCATTTTTTTGAAGAAGAGAGGAATTTCTCATTTGACAGTATAAAGAGATTGTGTTGATTAGACGTCATAAAGGTTATTCTTTCTTGTCTTTTCCTGTTTTTCTGAGGTCTCACAACTACAGTCTCGCACTCAGCTGAACTTGCTTCTTGACATTGCATACAGATATTCCTCCTCTCCCCATCCCACCACCCCATCACCTTGTGCTGTTTTTGTGGGTATTTCTATCTGTGTAGAATGAGTGTAAAATGGGGAGAAAATAAAAATTACACCATAGCTAGAAAATCAGACCAACATATTCTAAAAATAAAAATAATAATGATAAAATAATAATAATAAAAAAAGATAAATTTTGGTTCACAAAAGTTGAACTGATGTTCATCAAAAATATCACCGGCAATTACTTTGTAGTAAGTGACCATTAAATTGAATTAAGCCTAATATGGATTCCTGATATGTCCTGTTTCTTCAGTAGATAAGTTTCACCTCTGATGAATACACTGTTAATCTGTGCTACATCATAAAACAAATGAAGTAATAAATCAAATTGTATTTTAATGTTTTTAATTTTTAAATCATATATGATTGGGATTGACTGTACTTGTTCTATAATAATATTTGCTCAAGGAAAAAAAAATAGAGATTTTTTTTCCTCAGTTTATTTTATGAGATCTTTTCCAGGTAATGGCTTACTAGCTCTCAAATAACCAATGTCCACTAATTTTGTGATACATTTTTAAGAACAGACAATATTATATATTCAATTATATATCTGAGGTGGATCAGCTGTTGTGAGCATGCTTTCGCCCCACTGCAGTATAATCCGTCTATACAATTCATAAACTTGTGACTATTTTAACTACTTTCACATAGAACTGAACAAAAAGCAGTGTTTAAATTTTATGGACAATCCTGCTACTTTGAAATGCATGACTCCAATGGTAAGTAATCACTATATGTATTTCTATGAAAGAAAAGTCTGTAGTATAGTGATGACTTTAAATTTATTGAAATATTTCTTTTCTTCTAACAGCTCAAACATTGTTTTGGGAGAACTAAAAAAATTGAAAGTGTCTCCATTCCAGGGAAAGGGAACTAAATGTAAGTTTTAAATAAATCAATCAATAAATGTTCACAGAGGTAAAATTGTGGTAGTATGTGCATCATCTTTTCTAGTACCAATAATAGTTTTCATATGAATAACAAGATTTTTTTCATTCTGTAAAGGAAGTGTATTTTCTTTATCAAAATGTTTTCCTAAGATCATGCCTGTGAAGTGAAAGTGCTTTCACAATAGCTGTACTATGAAATTTGTTGTATTCCCGGTTTTGTTTTTGATGGCATAGTGTTTGGTAGCAGTAAAATGATGCATCAAAACAAAAAAAAATTAGTATTCGTTCCTTATTTTACACAAGGTTGTGGTCTCCTGCCTTGTTAAACTGGACCCTCAGTATATAAAGAAGTAACCCAGAAACCCTTAAAGTTGCATAGATTATTTTCCAGAAAAATTTTGGTAATTTACAACATCTAAATTATTTATCTTGTATATCTCTCTATTGCTATCCTAAAGTAGTCAAGAGTTTCACTTCCTGTACATTCATGTACCTTTACATAACTGTAGAATTTACTGTATTCATGTACTTTGAATGTTGACTAAATTGATGAAATTTACTTAACTGTAGAATTTACTAGATTTACTAAATTCAGTGATAATCGATATAGGTTATTTGTACAGTATGATAAAAAATCTCCCAAACAAAATGTGTCAAATTACATGTGACAGACAATTGAGGCATTAACATTTTAGTGCTTGATTCAAAGCATATGGCCAAGCTTCCAGAGATGACAAACCTGCATTTTCTGACAAACCTACATTCTTTCTAAAGCCTCCACAACAGAAAAATGACAAGAAGTATCTAAGGTCTGCTTAGATTTAGGAATCTAGTTCATTTTGAAAATAGAACTGACTAATTTTAGAAAATATTAGAGGTATATAAGTTAGGTGACTGGCCTAAATCACTCTAGGAATAAAGACTTCTAGATAGGTATTTTATTTCATTTATCATGCACAGGCATCGTTAAAATGAGGTAAGTCATTCACTGACATGCTCCTCTCTCCATTCACAACAGGGAAAGCTAAGTCTTGATTAGAGACTTAACCTTAGATGAATGAGTAGAGGTGAACTCTACTTATAGGAATGTAATGTTTTTTGTTTCTTCTTCCCAGAAGCTGATTTTTCAGCTTTTAAGAACTAAGGAGATAACAGGAGAGATAGGGTCAGAAAGATGGGGGAATAAATGAGCACCAGAATCTTCCTAGTCAGGAGGTCAGGTAAACCTTCCTGTTTACCTCACTGAGTTAGTCTCCTTTTACATGCTGGTAAGCAATCAAGTGAAATACTCAAAATGCTTTACCATACCTGATTGTGGACTTTGTTTGGGGATTTTGGCTGCTGCTTCAGGGCTGGAAGTGGCACGTACACGCTGATTGGCAGAGTTATGGATGCTACTTGGAACAGCTGCTGAGATGTTTTTGCGAGGTTTCATGTCTTGCAACCACATTGGAGATGCCTCAAAGGCCTGCATTCGCCGAGAGTGGCTGTTAGCATTGACTTTGAGAAATGCCTGGGCCTTGTATTCCTGAAGGTCTCCATAGTTGGCATCGGTCACCCTGCACTCATACAAGCCTTCATCCTTTTTCCTCACTTTTGAAATCTGCAGCTTGTGGGAGATGTCATTCCCTTGTACTTTCACTGTCTGCAAATTTTCCAGGAAAACAAAACAAAACAAAACAGAAAAACATGGCATCAGCTATTATTCTTTCTCTGGGAAGACTCTACTGATGTAGAGCCTGTCCAGAGATCATGTGCCAAGTTAACCAGTGGTGTAATTGTGCTTACTGCAGGGAAGTTACAACTAGGATAAGTTTGATTACTTATATCTAGGATAACTGGGATAACAATAAGATAACAATAGGATAGATAACAATACTGATATCTTCTTTTCAAAACTGTTTAGATGGTTTACTCTGAAAAGTTAATTGGCCTCAGACAAATAAAGCAAATTACCATGTTCATTCCAATTAACTACTTCAAGCTTTCTTTTACAAACATAATATCTGTTCACTTTTTTGGTTAAAACTTTCCAGTTAGTTGGCTATATTAAATAATACAGCTTTTGAACTACTGTATTAACAATTTTGTTGGAGATGCTTGCCAATATTTAAACTTCTTCAATAATTATTTATTAGATTAGCCTGTAATCTTCACTATATTGAAATTGCATATTTGACATTCAGTTTGACTCCAGGCATGTCCAAACCTTGGGAATTTTTGGTTTATTAGCCATAATAAGATATCTTGTGTTGGGCAGTTTCTTTTGTCTCATTTATTTAAGTGTGTACTTATTAGAGGTCATATGTCATTTCTGTGACTTAACAATAGAAAGCAGCACATATTCAGGATAATTTTTATTTTCTTCAGCTAAAATCAGACTACTGATTTATCTGTAATTGCTTTTAATATCTGAGAATAATATAATATATTTTTGTCTCACATATTTAAAACATGTCTGAGCAAATTATGCATCTAGAAATGTCTGATAGACATTAAGACATTAAGAAAAGTAACACAAATACTTTTCCATAAATTCATCACTTCAGGTAATTTATATTTAATTATTTGGCTAATAATTTCTGTATTGATTAATATCTGCTGTCCCATAGAAAAACAGTTAAAGGGGATTCAGTGGGGCAGAGAACTACATTACTTCCACCCACCATTTAAACATGGATGCAATAGTTACCTGGTGTCATATCAGTGATGGGCATTGAGGAAACATCAGGGTAATTAATATATGGTGGATCTCAGAAATGGGGAGCTGTCAGATTGAAATGAGGCATGTGTTCTTTGTGATTATTTAAAACATTGTTTCTGATAGTACGGCATACTATAGTCACTAGTGTTGGCATAGTTCTTTTTCTTCCTGCTTGTTAAATGGAAGACAAATACTTATGAATATGCTTTAAGGTAAAGATGGACCTTACAGCCTGTTGTAGAGTTTCCAGATCTGATTTTATTCTTGGCAATCTGAACTGAAAGCATAGATTGCTTACTTTCAGGCATAACATATGCAATATCAATTAAACAGAAAGTGTTGGGTAGTTATTTAAACCACATTTAATAATAATAATATTTAATAATAATAAATTTTCTACTGAATAGCTCATATTCAGCAAAAGGATTAAAGAAGTTTCATATGCACCATATGGATGGAAAGAGAATCTGTGGGTCATATTTTGTCTCAATTTGCCCTCATGCAATATCTGCAAAGTTAACAGAGTTGCACAATTAGAGAACAGAATATGTTTTGGGGTTTGAATTTGAAATTTAGAAGTTATTTAATTTAAAACAATAGAAGTAGTGTATTTCAGCACAGTTTAAAAACCCATTACACATATTTTTGCATTTTTTTCAAGAAGATATTTTCCTTTAGTATTAATGGGTATTCTTTGTACACCAGAAAGAAGGAAAGAAAAAAGGAGGGAAGGAGGGAAGGAGGGAAGGAGGGAAGGAAGGAAAGAAGAAAGGAAGGAAGGAAGGAGGGAAGAAGGAAGAGAGGAAGGGAGGGAGGGAGGGATGAAGGGAGGGAGAAAGGGAGGGAGGGAAGGAAGGAAGAAAAGCTACATTTCTATCATGTATTTAGACTGTGAACTAATGGTGATTTAAAAAAAAAAAAAAAAAATGAAAAATATATTATGCAAGCTTTTAAAAACATTTAATAAATACCCCACCATAGATTATTATTGTACATAATGAAAGAGTTTTTCAATTTGAAAGACAGGTCAAGCTTTACAGTCCATAATATGTCAAAGACATATAGATTGCTATGTGCATTTTGAGTATGCTGATATCAATGAAGAATAAATTGGCTGCTATCATAATGTCTAGTAGAGTACAATCCAGAGGCCACATGTGGATTTCATTTGTAAGATGGCCTATAAATGTAGCTGAAGATATAGTATATACCTGCACTTAAACCTGACATAATTACTGAGGTTAATTTTTCATAGACATGGAAAAGGAAAAAAAAAGTGAAGGATTTAATGGAAATGACTTGCTTCTGTTGCTGTTTTAAGTTTGGCTGGTAGTTATAGTCTTTAATGCAGCTAAAAGGCAGTCCCTCAGAGATTTTGCCTGAGAAAAAGAAAACTCCACTGGGCTCTTAAGAAGTATTTATGTTGCAGCATCTGCTGAATGTCAGTGACTTTCCACTGCAGTGAGCATGACCCCACCACTGTACATATCTTGGGATGTTAAAGAAAGAGTGTCTGAGCTCTACTGGGGTCAGGGGCCATAGCTCTGCCTGACTTGTGATATGGGTGTGTTGAAGTGCAATTCGTTCTTCCCCTGGACAAGGGCTGGAACAATGCTGCTCATAATTTTATCTCATTTGACAATTTTCATTTAATCTCAGAATTACAGGTAGTTAACTCTGGTGTCAAAACCCCACTTCCGTCAGAAAGAAATTTAGCAGCAAGACCTCTCTTTCAGAGATTACTCCCAATGGGGAGCTTTGTTGCTTGGACTGAGCTTTTTTTTTTTTTTTTTTTTTCTTTTTTTTTTTTTCTGCCAGTGAGTATGACGCTAGGAAAGCACACATTTAAACACTGAAGGAAAGTGCAGTTTCGGGGCCAGATTTCAGCCTTGAAAGCTCTTTAGGACTGCTAAGGCACACTCGACAGTTACTCAGGGCAATTGGAAGCAAGTACAAGGACGGTCACGGGCTGTCTGCTTCACATGGCAGAAACAGAGGTTCTACCAAAGCTCTACCACCCGGATCGTCTCTTGCTGATGTCTTCATGCCCGCTGTCCGCAGGGGTTTCACCGTGGGTGAAGGCTCCGCGCCCGGGTGTGCTCTGGGTTAGGAACATCCCGGCCACCGGGCTGGGGAGCTGCCCGCGCCGTGGGGGCGCCACTTACGCTTATCTTCGTGCCGTCGTTCTCCAGGTCCCGCTCGGGCAAGAGCTCCACCTGCAGGGAAAGGAGCGCCGCCGTAGCTCGCCGGCCCTCGCACCGGGGAGCAGCGCGCCGCGTCTGCCACCTGCGGGCCGCGGCGGGCAGAGCCCGGCCTCCGCCTCCTCAGCCTCAGCCTCCGCCTCCGCCGGGGCTGAGACCCGCCGTGCGACACCGGCACCGCTCGAGCCGGAGTCTTGTCGGGGCCCCCAGGTGGCGATGGAGGTGGACGCGGCTCCCTCTGCCCCTCTCGGAAGGCTGAAAGTGAGCCGTAGTATGGATTTTTTTTTTTAATTAATTTATTTATTTTTGGCTTGAACGGGGAATTGGCTTCTCCCCCAGCACCACCACCCCCCTCAAAAAAAAAAAAAAAAAAAAAAAAAAAAAAAAAAAAAAAAAGCGTGTGCCCTCCTCTGGCAGCTGCATGCCGAGTTAGGGTTGCCAGCTCGATTGCACCAGCTGTAAATAGGAGAGCTATGTAGGATCTTGCCATCTGGGAAATAAAAATTCCCACAAGGAGCAGTTTCTGAACAGCTGGTTTCCAAAGGGAAAATGAGAGACAGGAGAGGAAAGGAAAAAAAAAAAAAAAAAAAAAAAAAGATTTAAAAAAATAGTAATAATAAAATATAATAAAAAGATAAGAAGATAAAAACAGACTTTGGAAATTAATGTGGTTTCGTGAACATCCCTAGCTGCTTCCTGAAAGTGACAAGCACCAAATGCGCCATCTCTTGAGGTGGACATTTTTCTCTGCAGGTTCTTGCACTATTATTTCACAGCTGAAATTAAGACCCTGGTGAGATCCAGAACCTCCCTTTGCTTCATCCCCCTTTCTCTGCCTCCCATTCCACCCCCTCTTCTGTGGTGTACCCAGGTGGTTTGGGGACCCCAAGGCAAAGGACCAGTACCTGAGTGCCTGTCACCTCAGCTCCAACCTCTGGGTCCTCAGCTGCACGCAGAAACCACCACTGGATTTCAAGATACACTGAAGCGGAGCCACTTTGGAAAGCACAAGACATCTCCACATTCTGTCCTTCAGTGGCCGTGACATTTCGCGGAAACTCAGTGAATTTTGCTGCAAAACAAATGTGTGGTGTGTTGGGATCCTGTTATCTGCACATTTAATTCTCTCTTTGTGTTGTCTTTCTCTTATTCCCTATTCCCTTATTTCCCTATTCATTTCTTCGTTGTCCTTTCCTCATTCCCTCTCTTTTCTGATTTTCCAGTTTCCCCACACATCTTCCTGGTCTTTCTAAACCCCAGGTATGCATTTTCTCCCTTATGTACAAATCCACTTTCCTTGCAGTCTCATGGCAAATGTTAGAGACCCCACTGCTTGCTCCCATGGGCTACTAAAGTTTCATTTAATTAGGTCCAAATACCCTTGGGCAGTATGCAGTATTTCTCCAAACACACTGAGGGATTTTGTTCAAGAACAGTTTGGAACAGGAAAAAGCATATGAGGCTGATTTATTGTGTTTTGTAGAGCTGAACTGGAAATGTGTAAATAGTCAAACCTTCCACAGCTGCCTGGAGCGGCTACTGGAATGGGCGCTCTTCTTAGGAGTGGGTTGTGACCACTTTTTTATTAAAGTGCCTATTTCAAAGGCTTTACCTGAGTTACTTACTCTTTCTGAGAGTCTCTGCTTGCATAATCAGACCACGAACAACACATCTTCTAATTCTCAGTACAGGCATGCACTTTCTAGAACTAACCTTCACCTTTGTATCGCAGTCCTTTGACAAACAGGATTTGCTCAAAGGATTTGCTATATACCACTGCTAGGTTTAAAAACTAATTCTGATGGACATAGTCCAGGGCAACAACATTTCTTTAAGTTTCAGTCTTGACTTTTCTCTTATCCTATCACATATTTCACTTTAAAATCGTGGAACATAATGAAATATGATAGTCAAGTGAGGGAGGACTACAATCAAACAGTGTAATAAATGAGATATGTTTCAAGAAGAGGGAATCTGGGGAAGAGCCTGCAACGTTGCTTTCTGTTATACATTGTTACAGATTGACTAGAGCATATTATGATGCAAAGGAGATATTGCCAGTGCTTCCTCCCCTCTTTCTGTGTCTCTATCCAATCTTCCTAGCTAACCTGGAATTGGTGGGATAATTTAGGAATTTGGGCAAACAGCTTTACTTCCCCCCTCCCCCCCCCTTTCTCTCCCTCCGTTTGTGCTTGTCAACAGCTACTCGGCAATACTACTAGCTTTTTATTTCACTGTGCCCTTCCTGTGCTGTCGTCCAGTCGTGTCCCCCCCCTCCCGCCCCCCAATCACCGCCTGCTAATCCCCCAGTTAAACCGGCAATAGGGCTTTGCATTTTGCGTATTCGGGGCTCGTAAGTTTTGGTCTTTTTTTGTTTGCCTCCTCCCCCCTACCTCGTCCTTGTGTGTCCACCCTCCCCAGCCCCCTGCCCCCGGTCAAGGGTCGTGAGCGCTGCGGGGAGGCGAGGGGGAATACCGCCACCGCGCAGCCCCGCAAAGCCCCGTAGGGCTGCAGGCGGGGGTCGGGGGGCGGCGGGCAGGGGGCGGCCCCCCCGGGAGCTGTCCGTGGTGCTGACAGCGGCGCCGCAGCCCTGGCGGTCCCAAACAACCGGCTCCTGCGGCGCCGGGGCTGCTTGAAATGCAAGGCGCGCCTTTCGGCGAGGAGGGGGGGAAAGGCGACGGGGAACGGGTTGTTGGTGGTGGTGGTGCGTGTGGGGAGGAAGGTCTTCAAAGAAGTCGATTTTATCTTTTTGCCCCCCACACCCCCTTATTTTTTTCAGAATTACACAGTCACCAAATGGAAATGAAGGTCTGACTCCTAAGATAATAGGAAAGGAAAGGGGATGCAGTGAAAAAGTCTGCAATATTTTAAGGGAGGCAGTAGATTTAGTCATCCGGTACTTGGTCTGAATGCAATAATTATGCATGCACGGATAGGTGTTTATTATATGCAGGCATGCATATACACAGACATACAAAACCCAAACACATATACATCCATTCACCATCACCCCTTTACTCTTTTGCAAGGTGCAAAAAAAAAAATTTACTTCTTCCCAATCAAGTTAAAGAAGATTATTTTATTACCACTTCGGGGAAACTTCTCGTTACTGTTCCTATTTAAAGATGGTTTTAAAAATAAATTTAAACCTGATACTTGGTGTCTTCATCTCCTATCCACTGTAGTTGTTTTCCTTCTTTTTATCCTTTTTTTTTCCTCTATCCCCAATTCTGTTCTCACTATGTTATAGCATGAAAACACACACACAGGCATATGACAATAAGCAATCTTACCTTGGGTAGAAAGTCCTTGTTGAATATACATAACTGAAAAAAAAAAGATTCCAACATAAGCTAGAAAGATCCCCATCATTCCAAGACGAAGAAGAAGTCACATCAGGGTAACAAAAGCCAAAGGATCCTTCAAAAAAAGGAAGAATTTTTATATGAGTGTGTTTATGTATCTCTAAACATATGAACAGAAAGAGACTTAAAAATGTTACAAAAAGGCTCTGTATTGTAGCCCTAGCTGCGACACTGGCAGCATTCTGCTACTCAGTGAAGTCTTTTTCTTTGGGAAGAGCAAGTATTGCAATACAGTGAGGTTTAGATGAGCTGTCTCAGGCGCTGTGTTGCTTGAAGTCCAGATTCAGTCTAAAAAAAAAAAAAAAAAAAAACGTTGAAAAGTGGGTATCAGCTGCCTTCCGTGCCTTTTTTCAGCTACCTGGCAGCTTTGTCCAACGTCAGCTCCTGCTGCTCAGGATGGCGTGATGATTGCCCTCCCTACACACTGATCCGGCTTGGGAAGAGGGGAGTGGGGAATGGCCGGGGGTGGGGGGTGGGTGTGTGAGAGGGGGAGAGAAGTCTACTGTGCTTGTATTGCTTCAACTTTTTCCTCTAATGGCTGCGATGATGCCTTTAACCCTTCCTTCTCTCTCTGTTCTCTCACCTCTCTCTACCTGTTCTGATTTCTACTGGCTTAGATGCTGGCGTAAAGCTGCTTTTTTTTTTTTTTTTTTTTTTTTTTCATGGTGTACAGCTTGTGATTGTAGAGAGAGCAAGGAGCCTCTATTGCCTCTATTGTACTGATGTAATCTTCCGTCTTACATCCCAAACCACTCAGTGGCTAAGAGGGCAATGCAGTGGTTTGATTTTTGGTGAGTTAAGCTGTTTCTGTTTTCTCCCTTTCCTTTCCCTCTCACAGGGTTTGGGGGGAAAATAGTTATTCAGTTAATCTGCACTTGCTACTGCCTGCACCAAATAACTATGCTTTTACCATCTTACATAAAAGTGATGTGTTTTTTTTTGTTTGTTTGTTTGGTTTTTTTTTGTTTTGTTTTTTGTTTTTTTTTTCAAAGGCACGTCAAGAAGATGGCACTTAGAATGTCCTTAGGATACATGTATTTATGTAGATTTCTATGGAAAATAATACTGAGCCAGATAAAAATGTATTTTCATATTCAATATATTACTTACAGTAATATATGTTTACAGCATAGAATGTGTTTGCAATGTATTAAAGAATCTTTCTCTTGAAATGAATATTTCCCCATCTCTTGCCTGTTTTCTGCTTATGTATATTAACACTGTTGAGACAAGAGACTAACCTTGACTTTATTAGTCAAAACACCCTGAAAAGCACCTGCACTGGGAGAAGTTCTCTGACTAAAATCAGAGTGTTGTTTATAGTAAAAAAACATCTAGAAAGTGCTTGTTGCACTAAGCAGACACCAAATACCTTCACAAGGCTGAGACAAAGAGAAAACTGAATTTGAAAAGAACACATGGTAATTCAGACTGCCAAACAGCTAATCTTAACTGCTAATCACAGAATAAAAAGGAGAAAAAGAGTACCAAATTTAAAAGAATTTTCTCAGAATGGGCAGTGTGTTTTTCTATTGGATGAAGAATTGGATAGGTTCCTGGCAATGGGAGTGCAGCAGTTCCACAAAGGCATGAGACACAACTTTTACCTTACTTACTGCACTATCCAAATTATTACATGCATACAAGATATCTGTCATAGCTAAAGAGAACTCTTACAGAAATAATGTCATCTAACCAGAGAAGAATACTTCTGACTGCATTTTAGCATTCATATGTTTTATAATTGTGTGTGTTTCTGTCACTCTTTATAAATAAATAAATAAATAAAGGAAGGAAGGAAGACATTTCCCCTTGGTAATGGTCTATTCTGTTGATGTCATATCATAAGCACAGCAATCATTCTGAGTAAAATATATATATCTATATAATTTAATTGACTAAAATGACCCCCTTTATATATATATATATATATATATATATATATATATGTAGATTACATTGCATGAGAGGTTTTCTATTACTACAGTTGAAATTACTTTAAAGGAGTTTGTGGTGGATATATATTCAAAACCAAAGAAAACCTGTAAAACAAAAGAAATGCAGAAGTCTTTAAAGGTGATGGAGCTAAATTGTCTGAAGTAGCCAATGACGGTGAGTGATTCAATGATTAGACACACACTATAAGGGCCTTTACAGGTTCAGATGGTGAATGTTTTGATAATTTCTGTAAAATAAATCAGATTCTTTTCAGATGGGCAACCAAAATCCTAAGTCACTCTTGAAAATGAAGGCTGATTATAGGATTCACTTCAAACCCATGTACGTCATCAGTAATCAGTTGAAATTACAAATTAGAGACATATTATCAGCAGTCAAGTTAAATGTAAATTAGACACGAGGAAAAAAAAAAAAAAAAACAAAAAACAAAACAAAACAAAAAAAAAACCACTAAGCAGTATCACCTGGTTTAGAAGGAAAGCAGAAAACAAATATAGATCACTTTCATTTCTCTGTATTTTGGCCTATTCCAATTCAAGGCAATTGATAGGTAATTTTAATTTTATTAATTAGTAATATAGAGACAAATATAATCCTCCCAAATACCTTGTAGTCAATGGAACTAAATAGATCTTAAGCTAGTGTCATAGGGAAGTACAAAGTAATATATATGTTTATAAAGATATCAAAAAAGAGTTTGTATTTATTAGGAGAATGATTTAATAGACACAATCCTAAAACTTGGTTACAGATTGGTTATTTTTACTTTATTTATGTGCTGCATAAGGCTATATGATTGCAAGCAAAACCATAGAAATAATTCACCTCATGCTATCAGTGTTAAATTTCACCCTGATAGTTGTGGCTTGTCCACAATCAACTACGTTGTATGAATCTCTGCAGTGAATGTGTGTCATAACCTTGTGTGAAATTTCTACCTTTTCTGATCTAGAAAGGGTTTTCATGTAGCATAACTTGCATGAGAATATAAATTGTATTTTATTACATGAATTATATGGTTTATTCCAGTTTGTTTTTTTCTGCCTCTTTTTCTCCCTATTCAATGATACTAAAAGATGAGTCATCACTGGACACTCTCCCAGGTCATAGCCAAGACATCTATGCACAGGGGAATGACTTTTCAAACATGCCAAAGAAATCTAATAATTGAAGACCCATTTATTCTGCTTTGGACCTGAATTGTGTAGCTCTACTTTGTGTCATATTAGTAAGGCAAGTACACTTTCCAGATTAAGTCCTCCTTCAAAACCATAAAAGGTCATGCATGTTCTTCACCAGGACTATGCATCTGTTTTTCCTACTGAAGAAAAAGTGACTACTGAGGTTACAATTCCATGCTCAATAAAGATTAGAAATGAAAGCTGCCAGTCAGCAGTAAAGTTGGAGTGCTTTGGTCCCACAAAGACCTTGCATATGCAATGGCATGGGCTGCTCTGCCATGCAGGAAACTGATCAGCTGATGACTCATATCTCTGCATAAAACCATGACTGAGTGTTGCTATCTAACAATCTCAGTCAAAAATGAAAAGAAAATATGTTACCTGGAGATTATTTTTTTTTAATGAAAAAAAAAAAATCCTGTTTAGAATACTCTCTATGTATTCCTATTTTTGAATTTGAGTTTAGCATTGAAAAAATAATTTTCTATATAAGTTCCTTATCTTATTCACTCTGTACTTCACCATGGATCTGGAATAAATAAATGAATAAATAAATAAATAAATAAATAAGTCATGCACTTAAAAAGGCTGTAGAATAGTATAAGATAAGATTGCAGGGAAGAAAGAACCTAGAACAGTTATTGCAGAATAACAATACAGATTACTTTTGTGAGACTACTCTGGAAATAGATTAGATGAATCTTCACATGGCCATGTGGTCTGATTTTTTGTGGACCTAGAATTAAAAATCTATTGTACTAGAAATTAATCATCTAGAATACTGTGTCATGGAATTTGATGCAATATTTTCACTGTGTAAGCAAGATAGAATAACTTATTTTGTTCAGGAAATAATTTCAGCTGATGAAGAGTCTTATTTCTCGATCCACCAAATGTATCTTATGCCTTAAAGGGCTGAGAGGAAAACTGTGAGAAGGTTAATGTGATACTAACTGAAGACACTTTAAGTCAATCAGCTTCAAGTTCAATGTCTCATGGAGATTTTATTGATTGGTGAGTTACTGTTCCTCTCCAGTGACTTTTATTTTGCTGTCTGTAAAATGTGGTTGGACTGCTGGATGATCTTAGACAGAGTTGACTGAAAGAATTAAGTTAAAAGAGTTCCACTTTCTTTCTTTCATTAGTCACACAATGGTTATGTTGGGTAATTTTTTGCAATCACTTGCATGGAGGTCTGTTATGTTGAAAAAGGAAATTTAAATGTATTTAAATGTTTTCTACTTTCATGATTTAATGAACTCAGTATTATAGTATGTGGAAGCCATATGATGTACATACTTTATCATAACTTTGTTCAAGCCAATTCATGGCACTTGCTAGAAGAAATCTGTTGGAGACAAATAATCTCTTGAGATACAACTGAATAATCCAGGTTTTCAATTACTTTGGTGGCTGGGTGCCAAAGAAACTTCTGCAATTGGAATTAGCTATTAGAACTCAATTTCTAACAAAGTTTTACAGGCTTCCTAACCAGTGTAAAAGGTGCTACCCACAGAAGAGTGAGTGAGGCTTACTTCTTTCCTCATCTCACAGCCCATTTTCTATATCATTGAACTTCAGAACTTGAATCATTTTCAACACAAGAATGAATGATGTTCTCAAAGCATTTTGAGGGATATCTACCACTTCTTTATCAGTGGTAAAGTGTTGATCTATTTTATGTTATATAGAAGTCTATCTTGTTTTTAAACTTACTCCTTTTTTGTCAGCTGATGAAGCAGGCCAGAGAATATCCCTAGTCATAATTACTACAAGGGGGCAGTTGCTGTGATCCCAAACGTGGCAGATGCACTCACAAAAGCAGTAGAAGTTTCAGTTCTACAGCTAAATTTTATGAAGACATTGGCAAGACTGACCTAATAGTTTTTGGGGACCTCCTGAGCAATCAGACCTAAGTATTCATGATCTTTACTATTTATAGCCATGTTGTGAATAACATTATATATTCAAGCGAATTTGACTATTTGACTAATTTTTATGTAAGTGTTTTTGGGTATGCCTGCGTGTATGATGAACTCTCTAGAATGCTGGAACATAAAGGAATCTTGTCTGATATTTTCAACATTTTTTTCCATTCTTGATGTTATTTGAAAGATTGGCTTATTATTTCAAAAGGAATTTTGCATTTTCTGAATAAATTTCTGATTTATAAAAGTAAAGAAGGAGGTTGGTTTTCTTCACTGAGGATTGCTGTTTGGCTTTGTTAACCCAAGTGATCGTGTTAGCCTCTTCCTACATATCATGTTGCTTCTTTGCAACAAAATCACTGTCAATGCAATAGTTAAT